CGCGCGACGACCTCGACTCAGCTGTGCGCGAGATGGAGCCGCCTCTTTTGCGACCCGACATGCCGCGCTGCCACGCCAAGGACCTCCGAGTACCCCAGACTTTCAAAGAGGCAAAGCAGAGCGAGCACAGCGAGCAGTTCATGGATGCGACCAAGCGTGAGGTGTTTGGATTGCTAGAAGCAGACGCGTTTAAGATTGTTGGACCGTAGCAGCGAATAGACAATTGCATCAAGTCGGAGTTGATTTTTGATTGGAAGGTAGATGCGTTCAGCTTTCCTACGAAGGCCAAGGCTAGACTTGTTGCGAGAGGAGACATGCAGAAGGAGTACATTGACTTTGGTGATTTTCATGCACCTACCGTAGCTTCATCTAGTGTTCGTATGTTGGCAGCTTTGGCGTGTGAGCTTGACTTGGAGTAGTGTCACTTCGACATCGACCAGGCTTTTGTGAGGGCCCCTCTCAAGGAAGATATCTTCATGCGACTACCGGAAGGATGTGGTGCGTTGTCGGGGAAGATAGTGCAGTTGAACAAGAGCCTTTATGACTTGAGGCAGGCATCTAGAGAGTGGTACGCGTTACTGAAGAAGTGCCTTTTGGCTTTGGGGTTCGAGCAGTGCATGGCTGATTCGTGTGTTTTTCATTTAGTCGAAGGGGGGGAAGTAGTGTTGCTTCTTGTAGTACACGTAGACGATATTTTTGCAGTGGGGACGAAGGAGAGGTGTGATCAATTCGGCAAGGACCTGGGAGAGTACGTGCCAGTAAAGTCTCTAAGGGAGTTGAAGTGGTACTCTGGTGGCTATTACGAGAGGGACAGAGAGGCAGGCAGGCTGACGATTTCACAGCAGACATACACCGAAGAGCTGGGAGAGAGATATGGTGTCGAGTGGGGGGGGGGCATTCCTTTGCCCACCACCTGGAAACTTTGGGACTTCGACTTGGACAAGCCGAGCGTAGAGTACCCTTTTCGCGCGCTGGTCGGTTCGCTGTTGTGGATTGCCCTGTTAACTAGGCCGGATATCGCGAATTCGGTGAGAGCAGTGGCGAGGTATTGCAGTGCACCGACGTTGATCCACTGGAAGGCTGCACGAAGCATTTTAGGATATGTAGTTAGGGCTAGTTCTTTGGGGACTTCGTTTCAGAGGGGGACAGTTTCGGGATCTTCTTTGATTGCGTTTGTCGACGCGGACTACGCTTCCCGTGCGGCACACCGTAGGTCGGTTTCGGGAGGGGTAGTGATGTATGCAGGAGGGGCGATTGCATGGTTCTCCAAGACTCAAAAGTGTGTGACTTTGTCTACCACGCAGGCAGAATACGTGGCGATGGCGGACATGGGGATGGAGATGATTTTGTTTTTGAGGCAGGTTTGGCGTTTCATGTTGCCTAAGGAATTGCGGCCGTGCATTCCACTGTATGAAGATAACGAAGGGACTATCAAGATCGCAAAACACCCGATCTCGAATTCCAACTCGAAGCACATCGAAGTGCGGCATCACTTCCTCAGGCAGCTCGTAGATGAGAAAGAGGTAGAGATCATCCACGTAGCGTCGAAGTATCAGCATGCCGACTTCCTCACGAAGGCGCTACCTGAGAGAGAGTTTGCTTCCCACCGGGACTACGTGATGAACTTGAAGTGAATAGTCCGGGAGATCTTTTTCGTTTTTGGGCCTTGTGTCCTTTGTTTTTTTCCTTTCGATTTGTTATTTTTTTGTTTTAATTTGTTTGATTTTCTGAGAAATCGAGTTCAAGATTGACAGGTGGAAATTGTCGCAATTTCTGGTGTAATGGTTGGCAATAATGCAAACCGATAGGAATTCTAACGAATGTTTCTGGTTTAAGGGTTTTAG